ACAAGTGCCTTACTACTAGGAACAAGAAGCTAGTAGTAACAAGTGCCATCCAATCATCCAATCACCAGTTCCGGGGTGCCCTGGGTGGTGCCTTTTTGCGGTGACGGCCCACTTGGTGAAGAACTGGGAGGTGAAGAACACGGTCGATTCCAAGCGAGCGAGTGAGTCTCAACGTTGGTTCTTTGGGCTCCTTTTGACAGGTCCAGGTCGCATTCTGCCGCGCTAAAGGCCCTCGCCCTGGTAGATTCGTGTCAAAAAGCATCATATGATTATGTACGATTGCTGGGGGGTGGCACAGTTGGAGAACTTCTCTGTAGCAAGCAACAAGCAAATCAAATGAATACTCTGCTCCCAAATCACATGTGGCAGCTCTCTTACATGACCACTACTCACCAGCACTTTTTGACTGTGGAATGTAGAGTCGAGTCACCTATGCATCGCCTATCCTCCACTCCGGACCCTTAAAAAAGAAGGAGAACCGAGGCCCAACAGGAACCGGGCCTCAAGTGGACAGGACATCTCAAGCAGCCTCATCTGTGAGAACGAGCTATTTGAGCTCTAACAGCTCGTGCTTGGGTGAAACCAACTGCTCCTCGTCTTCCGCTTCGGGTGCAGCTGTCTCCCCACCGAGCGGAACACGACGGCCCGGGAGGCTGGGAGTCCCCCACGCTCCACCGGCCGCCGAGGGCTCCAAGCCATGGCTGGGTGAGGACGTGGGTCGGTGGCTTTTGCTCCAAGGTTGTCATCAAATGGCTCAGATCTGAAAGATGTCATGCTCTATGGCTTGTGCATCTACTCGCACATCTGAAAGATGTTCTATGAGCTTTTCTTGTGGATGTACGACATGGCTTGCTGCTCACTCATGGATGGCTGATCTGGCTGATCTGGCCAGGGCAAGGAGTCAGCTTTTTGCATGTTCCAGGCTGGAATCATTCAACAAAAGTGTCTGTGCAAAGAAACGTGACCACAGAAAAATGTGTCTGCACCCACCGAAATATGCTACTCTGTCGTTGCTCTCTTGCTGAGATCGGGGGAGCAGTGGGAAAAAAGGAACATAACACATCCTCAGCAAACAAACTCTTGCACAAGGGCCAAGCCATTGAGCCGACAATTTCAACCGGCCCTACGAGTGCGAGAAAGGAACGGAGTCCAAATGAGGCTCACAGAAGCTCAGTCAGGTCTTCAAGGTCCTACACAGGTCCCACGTTCGCCCGAAACGTGAGGCGTTGACACGGCGGCTTTGAGGTGTGTTGACCCCGAACTCGTCGACTTCCCACTCAGAAACACCCAAAACGCCTCAGATGGGAGTTCCACCAGTCAGCACGCTTGCTCTTCCTTTGGAAAGGAAGGCAACCTCTGCATCCTGGGGTCCCACCCCATCCCCAATGGATCGTTGTGAGGGAACGGAGAGCCAACGTCAACCCAGCCGTCCTTCGGCGGCCGTCAAGGTGGGACCAGTTCCGCCAGGTGTCCGCGCCAGTCACGGACGATGGACCTGGGAACAGCCAGGAAGGGGGGATGGGGATGGGGGTCAGAAGAAGAGCTGTGTTCACATTTGTTGATTTGCCCATCTCATTGAAGGCTTTGATGTGCTCACACATCCCCGATATCCCTGGCATTGCATCGGGTTTGGAATTTCGTTTCCTCACGGTGAGGCAGGTGTTGGAACGGAAACAGCGTGTTCTTCATCTGGATCGGTGGTTGTCACGTCCGCCGTTTCAGCTCTTCGTTTCTGTGTCTAGAAAACAGGGCCTATGCCGCTATGCCATCCCTTTCCGAAGGAACATCAGAGGGGACTGTATAATCATAAAAAGTACACCACCAAACCTGTGGCTCTTCGTCATAAATAGACGCCATGCCTTCGAAAGGGCGCGTTCAGTGGCGTTCAGGGCCTCTTTCTCCTCTTTCCGCCCATCCCCAGCTGCAGCCAGGGCACAGCAGGGTCTCATCCCCCTTGGGCCCTAAGCGCATCAAAGCATCCGCCGTTGCCCGGCGTGACTGGCCAGGTGTCCGGTTTTTCTTCCGAGAAGGACGGGAAAGGTGACACCGCGGAGCAGTGGGAACAGCATCCGACTTGACCTGGTTGGTTCGTTCTCATGTGGGGTCGCATGGTCCCATAAGGTCTCTAGCTTGGAATTGCTTCAAAGCCTCCTGCGGCCATTCACCCTGGATGGTTCTACTAGACTATACTCATCCACATGACATGGGCCCCTGAATTTGATGTACTTTCGACAAGTCCTTTGTCACTTTCCCCCGGTATAAAGTCAACTACGGCAAGTAAAGAGTACAAAAGGTTCACACACTGTCATACCTTCGCCTTTAAACCAAGAGACTGGTGGACATGTCCCTTGTAGTAGACTCTCTTCATTCTTTCAGATCTTCAACCCTTTGATGCCTCCCCTCACCTCCATTGTTTCTCCATCCCAGTGTGCTGCCGTATCCTTGGGCGACCCCAGGAAAGCCGTTGGTGCCAAAGGTACCCACCATGGCGTCCCACCATGGCGCCTCCACCCGGAAGCGTGCATCCTCGGGCGGCAAGACGTTTTGCAGCTGCGCGTGCACCGCACCACCTCTCAAAGGAGTCGCGCAGGGCCGGTGGTACCGGTGGTGCAGGATGAGGGTGCTGAAAGTGACCTAAACTTCTGATACTAGTAGCTTTTTGCTACTAGTAGCAAGGCCAGGAGCTACGTTCGTAGCTTCTTGCTCCGTTCGTAGCGATGCCCTTTTAGTAACAAAGTGAAGGGTGGCACAGCTTCCTGTAAACCAAGCGACTTTCTCCATGAAAGGAGGGAACGACTTTCTCAAATCAGTTTCTGCCTGACTTGAGAATCTCCATTCAATGGGAGCTAACTCGCTGGAGGAAGCAAACATGGCTAGGCTAGGCTAAGCTCGCTATTGGTTAGATTTTGCGAGTGGATCTTAGTCAGCGAAGTTTGAAGCTATCACTGACGGTCCATAAGCGGCGTAGCGTCGGAACGGAAACCGCACCTTTTCTAGTCGCTTGATCCTTGAGCCAAAGTACATATGGTACATATATATGTACAAGTTGCACTGTACGTGTCGCTGCACTTCCATTCGCACCCCCCATGTGAACGGCAACAATATGTTCCGATCACACACGAAAATTTAGGGATGTAAGTGCTACAAAAGAAATTGTATGATTTGCCGCGAGACTCATATGAGGCTCATACTACGAAACATGCTGGACTAAAGCGGACTTTTACATATAAAGTGTGCAACTATGGCTCAGAACCTATGAAAAATCGAATTGAACAAGTGAGACAGTCACGAGGCCTCGCTCAGTATCCACTCAAAAGAGCATCGCTTTGATGTAGATCCGAACTGGTGGCTTCCACGTAGATGTCACATCGGCAACTGACTTCACACTTCTCAAAAGATGTAGGCTTTGATTTGGATACACTTACAGAACGGCAAGTCGGAGAGACAGTCGGTGATTGTCTTCCTTCCATTATGCTCATGGTATCAAATCAGATTGACGATTTGCAATGATACACTTACAGCGTTTCAGGTCAGATAGACATCCGGTGAATGACTTCCTCCCTGGTTTGCATGGTATCCCCATAGTCGTTCAAAGAAATCACCACTGGTGATAACCTCTCCATCCACGATGATCCCAGCTGCCCTGAGCATCCCGTCGATCATCTTCTCCCTTCTTGGACTTTCCCTTGGACTTGCTCTTTCCCTTCCCCTTTTCAGAAGGTTGAGGTACTTCACGACGTTCTTGCGTTAGCGCCGGCCTCCAAGATGTTCCAGATTGGCCTCCTCCTTTGGAATGTCCTCGGGATGATGAAGAAGTTGTACCTTCTGTTGCATGTGCGTTGGCGGCAAGATCTTCCTGCAAAGCTTGCTCAAACACATCGGTAGCATTGGATGGTGATTTATCATGTGGTCTGGCTTTTGGAGCAGCCTTCACCTTGTTCTCCTCTGTTGATGAGGGCCCGAAACTCTTAGGTGCTGTTGAAGGTTTTGACTCCTCACTTGGTGCTGACGACGGCTTGGCCTCGGTTCTGGGTGTAGATGCTGGCTTTGCCTCAGCTCTTGACGAAGATGCTGCTTTCGCTTCAGACTTAGTCGTTGATGTTGACTTAGCTGTTGCCTTGGCTGCCTGCTTCTTCTTGCCCTGAATCTCCTTGGCCCTATCTCCAAAGCCTAGACGATTGGTAAGAGCTTGAACATGCTTATGTTCTACCACGCTCATCCATCTCTCTGTATGTCCAACGTTGGGGTTTCTGGCCATTGACTCTATGACTTCCTGAGCTTGTGGGGGCAACCTGATCTCATGTTGATCAATGATCAACAGAATAGACTTCTCCCATTTGCTCTTCATTCTCGAGTACATGATGTCCAGAGGATCGATCACCTTGTGGTTGGGTGATGTAACGTCGGTTCTAAAGTAAGAATATGTCCGACAACCATAAATCGCATGGATGCACTTCTGTACCAATTCAGTCATTGCGCTGGCTTTCTTCGCTTTCAACTCCTCAAGCTGGGCATCAGTCAAGTTGGTGGAGTGTTCGAAGTTGCCATATTCCTCCTTGAAGGATTGCGGAGTATGACCAAATGATAGGATCATGAGTGCCACCTTGCAAATGAATTGCTCTCCTCTGAATCGGTGCCAGGCCTCCTCAGTTGTAATATTGTTGTCGTTGGCAAAGATTAACATCATCTCATCTGTTGGATCCAATGGTCTCCCATCGTCATCGATTTCAGTGGAATCTCCTGTACCGAACTTGCTTATCACATCCAGACGCTTCCTTTTCCAATTTGCTTTGAAGTCGGTAAGGCTGGTGCAATAGTAGCTCTTGTACATCAGGGAGATCATGCTCAGCACACATTTGACCACATACCTATCCATCAAACCCGATGCTTTCACGGAGACGTCCTGACAGTAGGCTCTCTCTTGATGCGCATAGATTCGAGGTTCCGGTACTCGACAATAGATGGGGAGATCTTCGTTGTCTTTTCCTTCTTCGGGATTGAACTCGGTCGCTCCATGCTGTGCATAGTATCCCGGTTCATCACGATCTGTCGGTCGATTCGCCTCCGGATGTAAGTCGTCGGTGACGTCTTCATCCTCGGGCTCACCATCTTGACGTTTCTTCCCCTCATATTGTTGTGTGCTCCTCTGGATCTCGATGATCACGTTTCGTTCGTCTTCATCTTCTAGATCAGAATCACGACCGTAGTCGATCTCGTCCTCATTGAAAGATGGGGTCTCGACATTGTCACTCTTGAAGTTTTCTGCACCATCAGACGGTTTGGAAGGATCTAGATTGTCCATGTCCTCGTCGTCGTCAGCTGCTTCAGTTTGAGCGATGTCTTCTTCCCAAGCCTTTCTGATCTCGTCCATAGTGGCCTGGTCCAAAGTATCTTGAACATCATCTTCAGGCTCCTTCTCTTCCTTCTTTTCCTCTTCATCGTCGGTCACAAGATCAACGGGTGAATCGGAAATGACAGTGTTGCGGATACCACACGAGAGTAGCCTGCCTTGACAAGATAGACACACGGACAAAGATGAAGAAGTCAAATGCATACATGATGGACACAAAATATTGCCATCCACGTTGCGATACCCTTCACATGTTCTGGAGATGATTTCGTCCCAAGTTTCCTCACTGATGGAATCCTCGATCGACTAGAACTAGGATCAGAACTCATTGGTTGAGGGTCTACAGTCTACAGATTAAAATGCATGCCACCGACACCGCCCATATAGGGTGT